AGCAGGAATCTGTTGCTTTGCCCATGCTCAGATCTGGGTGGTAGTCCCAGGGTGAGGAGGAGAATGAGGACACCAGAGTTTGTGTCCACAGTGGATCAGGGACCCTCATCACAGTTCCAGGGCAGAAAAGAGTGTTTGTGGTTGCTCACAGACCAGGCACAGAGTAGAAGACTAAAAAAGCACACTTCTTAGAACATACTGCCTTGGAAGAAGTGAAAAGTTACAAGAAAAATATGAATTGCGCCCAGGTCATGGAAGAGCTCAAAAAGTATTTTGAGAATCAAGTAAGAGAGGTAGAAGAAAAAGCAGGAAGAGAAACAAGAGTGATACAAGAAAATCATGAAAATATGTCAACAGCTTGCAAAAGGACACACATACACATACATACATACATACATACACACACAAAATACTAAAGAGAATAATATCTTAAAAACAAACTAAGCCAAATGGTAAAATAGGTGCAAAAGTTCACAGAAGAAAATAATTCCTAAAAAATTAGAATTGAGCAAATGGAAGCTAAAGCATTTATGGGAAATCAAGAAATAATAAAATGAAACTAAAAGAATGAAAAAAAAAACACTGTGAAATATCTCATTATGAAAAAAAAAAAAAGCAACTGACCTGGAAAATAGTTCCAAGGGAGATAATTAAAAAAAAAAAGGACTACTTGAAAGCCATGTTAAAAAAAAAAGAACTTAGTATCTTTCAAAAAATTATCAAGGAAAGCTACCCTGATATTCTAGAACCAGAAGGTAAAATAGAAATTTAATGAATTGACTGATCACCTCTTGAAAGAGACCCTAAAATGAAAATGCAAGATGTCAGAAAGAAGCAATTCAGGTATTGTGGAGTCATAGTTGGATAACACAAGATTTAGCAGCTTCTACATTAAAAGATTGGAGGGCTTGGAATATGATATTCTGGAGGGCAGAGACGCTATGATTATGACCAAGAATCACTTACGCAGCAAAACTGAGTCTAATCCTTCAGGGGAAAATGGATGTTTAAGGAAATAGAGGATTTTCAAGCATTCTTAAGGAAAAGACCAGAGCTGAATAGAAAATTTGATTTTCAAATAAAAGACTCAAGAGAAGCATAAAAAAGGTTCCAATGGAGAAATTTAAGGTGCTCTCTGTGTTACCCAAATTTTAGTAAGGACTGACCATGTTTCAACAACAAATGGAGAAAATTGTTGGAGACATTCAACTTGACATCAACTTGTTGAGAAAGCTAGAGAATATCATTATTTTTGGAGATACCTTGAAGGGATATGAGCAAAGACTAATGTAAATGTTTTACCACCTAGAAGACGCTGGTTTGAAGCTGTCAGTTGATAAAGTCTTATTTGCAAAGTTTCAAGCATTTGGGTCTCAGCATCTCCAGAAAGAGTGAATACTAATGCAGAGAAGATAGAAGTATGCATTAGCACTAAGAATCTTTGGAAGCTAAATATTACCTAGGATTTGCTGGTTGCTTTCGGACATTGTGAAGAATTTTCCACCATCTCTAAGTCATTTAATTATCTCATTCAAGAGTGTATATGGTTTAGAAGAGACAAAAAGTGGAATGCCAAGAAAGGGAAATCTGTCCCTACCATTTGGAACACCACTTGGAGGCCATTGGAATGAGAAGAGTGAAGAAACCTTTAAAGCCTTGGTCAACTGTCTCACACATGTACCAGTGATGACTGTTGTAGAACCAGGCAAATCCAAAAGCCATTACATTTTTGTTAGAGGACTTAATAATAGTAAAATCATTATCCCATACACAAAATTGAGTTCTTTGCTTTACCAGTGAAGCCCAAGACTATGTAGAGATCACTTTCGGAGTTTGAACTTGCAGTAATCCGTTGACTTACATTCTGACCAATATTAGATTGGATGTTGTCTGTAAGAGGTGGGGAAAAAGCACCAGCCAACTATGATTTCAGAGTTCATTACAGGTCAGGGAGGACATGTGAAAGTCAATGTTTTGTCCTATAAGTTCAATTGTTTCATAGGAAAAGGTGTTACTCAGATGGACTTAATTGGTTTTCTTCTTTTGATGTCATATGCATGGAAATGCTAATCAGCTAGAGGTCTGGTTCTGCCAATAGAAGAGATGAAGTACCAGGAAGAAAAATGAAGCAATATTAGTCAATACATGGTTTGTTGGACGTAGAAAGAGTGTTGTATTCTAGGGAAAAGTGATATTTTTTGAGGCTAGTAACCTACAGGCTTAGGGCATAATGACAGGCATGTAAACTAACCTTACCTATCTTCTCTTAAAAAACAAAGGGAGAAATGTGGGTTTTTTTCTTCTTCTTTTGGGAGGGGTATAGTAGGACAATATCCATAGTAGTATACACCATCTGATGATATTTATGTAACAGCAAAATTTTTCATTCATCTCTAAAGTGCTTTGCTGTGAAATGTACTTATATGCATTATACTGTTGATCTGATAACTATATTCAATTCTGTTATATGTGCATATTACTTAATACTTATATTATTGATTTTATTATATGCAATATTGTCATATATCTTTTGAAATGCACAGAAAAAAAGTATATCATATAACTATAAACCTACTTGATGCACATCAAAATACACTTATCATACTTAATATTTTCATATTAGCAACACGAAGTTAGCTATAATACATGATATGAACTGAAGTACATAAAAGTTCAGAAATGTGGATTAAAGAACAGCTGATGAAATGGGAAGTCTTGAAATTGTTCTGATCAAATTCTATCTTAAAAACAAAAACAAAACAAATCCTGCATTTAAGACATAAGTAGATGGAAGCAATGCTGTTTATCTCAAAACATTCATGATTTATCAAGCTTGTACAACAATATTATACTTTAATATATTTTTTTTTGTTTGAGAGTGATATTATAATGTAAATCAAACAATTCAGCACTTAAAAATAAGAAAGGCACCTAGGACAGCCATGTCTTATTCCCCTTCAGGCTGTCCTGAATACTTCCCCATGTGTCCCTTACCCACAAGTACCTTTTTTTCCCTGGGCCCTTTTTTAGCCCCCTTTTATGTGTTGCTTTCCCCTGTCAGAATGTAAGCTTCTTGAGGGAAGGAACTTTTTTCACCTTTTTTCAACAGTACTTAGCATAGTACCTGGCATATGGTAAGCTCTTAATAAAAGTTTCTTGACTGATTAATGGGGAAAGATATTTCTGCCTTATATCAGAAAAGTAACAAGTGTCAAAGTGACAAAGTGACAAAGAGAATGGGCTGGTGAGGTGTCTAGAGAGAATATAGTACCCCAGCAGGAGGGATATCGGACAAATATCACAGAGGGTGGACTGAAATTTGCAACACTGGATGGACTAGTCATCTTGCTAAGACCATAGTTCTATAGACATATTAGAGAACCGGTAGAATACACACACACACACACACACACACACACACACACACACACACACACACGCATCATATCATATCATATCATGTCACATTACATCACATCACATATATTCAGCACTTAGAGCTTAGGCAATCATTTTCTGTTACTCATCAAATGGAATTATTTATTTCTCACTAGGTTACAGTTAAAGGAAGGGCAGTGTTTCATAGTGGGTAGTGTGCTGGCCTTGGAGACAGGAAGAGCTGAGTTCAAATTCTACTTTCAGCATTTACTAGCTCTGAGACTATGTGTGAATATCTTAACCTCTCTTAGCCTCAATTTCTGAATTTGTAAACTAGATATTCATAATACTTGATTGCTTTAGCCACACCAGGTGGTTGAGAAGCTCCAGTGAAATCATATAGGTAGAGTGTTTTGCAGATGTTTAAGTGTTAAATTAAGGCATTGATTGAAAAACTCCAAATCTTTTAGTAAACTAAATAATGCATGAGATAACAACTCATGAGAGGCTTTTCTGTGCTTGGATTCAGGAAGCCATGGGTTTAAGTCCATGCCTGATACATCACTGGCTTTTGGGATCTTGGGCAAGGCCCTTCACCTCTCTGTGACTCAAGCATGTCTCTAAGGCTATAGTTGTAGGGAATTTTAAGGGCAAAGTAGAGGTAGAAACTCAGCTAAACTATCCTAATATTCACTTCCAAACAACTTTAAAAAACAATAATAACAACCTTAAATTAAATTCTGGGTGGAAGAGCCAACAAAAGTTCTGAGTGAGATCATTTCCCAATCCAAGATAACAGGGGTTTGGCTCAAAAGGTTTGTGATATGGGAGTGAGGATCATTCAGAGTGGGGTAGCATCATCAGCCTTGGGATTTGCAATTAGCTGCAACAGCAACAGCAGCAGCAGCTTTAGGGCTTCTTAGCCAATAGATGGTGAAGGAGTTGGACAAATGGTCAGAAAAAGATTTCAAGGAACACTTTACTACCACTGATTACAGGACCTTGTTGCATTGATGCTACACAGCTCTGGGTCCCAGTTTGAGGACAAAGAGAAACACTAGCACTTGTGGCCACAGAGGATGAGGAGCCTTGGTAACTATGCCAAGGTAAAAAGGAGCAAGAGTGCTTGTGGCTGCATAAGAGCAGGGGACCTGATCTCAGTTTTAGGGCCAAGAGGAATGCTAGCACTTGCAAATATAGGGGAACAAGTTCCCTTCCTGGGTAAAGAACAGAGCACAAGAGAGAAGAGCAGTGACCACACTTTTCCTTGGATCGTACAAACATGGAAGAACTGAAAACAGCAGCACAAAAAAACCTCAAGCTTGTGATGGTGCCCTCACTATTACAGGATCAGAGCCCAACTTTGACATGGAGTTAAAAGTCAAGATGTCAGAAAAATGAGCAAACAAGTACAACGAAATAGAATTGTTCATGAGTAGGCTGAACCAATATAATAAAATCAACAATTCTACTTAAGTTATTTTATTTATTCAAGGGAGTTGGATCAATAGCTACTGAAGTTCTTTCAGCTTGAGTTCCAACTACCCAATCGGCAAATTTTTTTTTTAACATGTTCCCAAATGTAATAGAGATTTTACCTCCCTTTTTCTCTCTCCCTGCAGGGATTCCATTTGCACTGTCTATATTGAAGTACTTCCTCCAAACAACCAGAGTCCTCCCCGATTCCCACAGCTGATGTACAGCCTTGAAGTCAGTGAAGCCATGAGAATTGGGGCAGTTTTGTTGAATCTCCAGGTATGAAGTTTGGTGTCCATGTAATAACTTGTCGCTCTTGAATGAAAGGCAATGGTTTCTGGTGCTTCATGGGTGGTGGGTAATCTGGTTGAAATGACCCAAAAGACCTGGCTTTGAATCCTCAAATCCCTTATTCTCTCTGTGCCTCAGTTTGTTTGTCTGTAGAATAAAATGTCTCTATTCAATGACTGCTGCAAATCTGTGATTCTATGATGTAAGGAACTGCTGTATGTCCACGGCTTTAAAAAATGTGACAGTGTGTGAACTTATATTGAATGGAAATTTAGCCCTGAGAAGAGAATCTGTAATCATGTGGGTGAAGTGTTTTGAAGTGATTTCTCTCTGCTGATTACGGCCACTGTCAAACTGCTCCAACTAGCAGGGGTCTGCTGTAGTCACTGCAGGAGAGAACACAGGGTTTGTAAAAACAAATATTTTGTATTACACAAGGACTGCTGTCCTTCATGTTTAAAGGTAGTACTTCTGTCAGTCATTTCTCAACTCGGGTTTCTTTGTATCCATGGTATTCATTTTAAGTGCATCATAAAATTTGTATAAAAGCTGGCTGACTAAGGAAACCTCCTATCCACTCCTGCCTCTGTTGTAGATGAGTCCTGGAATATTGAGCATATCTGTATCTCAAAGTTCTCCATCAATAAAATGAAGTTTGAATTACAGAATCTCTAAGTTCCTCCTAAATCTAACATTGCATCCCTTCATACTCTATGTTCTGTGATCTCCCAGCTCTGACTTTTTATGTTCAGTCTTCTAAGGGCCCTTCCAACTCTTCCCTTCTGTATGTTCTCTATTTTTCACCTCTACTATTATATTGTCCCTTAAAGTCCTTTCTTTCTTTGCTTCCTTCCTTTATTTCATTCAATTATTTCTTTTCTTCTCTTTCTTCCTTCCTCCCTCTTTCCCTCCTTTTTTCCTTTCTTTTCTCTTTCTCGCTTTCTCTTCTTCTCTTTTCCTTTCTCTTCCCTTCCCTTCCCTTCCCTTCCCTTCCCTTCCCTTCTCTTCCCTTCCCTTCCCTTCCCTCGCCTTCCCCTTCCCTTCCCTTCCCTTCCCTTCCCTTCCCTTCCCTTCCCTCGCATTCCCTTCCCTTCCCTTCCCTTCCCTTCCCTTCCCTTCCCTTCCCTTCCCTTCCCTTCCCTTCCCTTCCCTTCCCTTCCCTTCCCTTCCCTTCCCTTCCCTTCCCTTCCCTTCCCTTCCTTTCATTTCCTTCTCCCTATCTCAGCTGATCAGCAAATGCAGAGGTCAACCACAACACCTCAACCCCCAGAAAATAAAGATGAACACCTAAGATTTAACCCACTCTATTCATCTACTTGATATGGTTCTCTTCTCAGGCAGCCTCATAGCCCCACTCTCCTCAAGGATTTCTTATGTTAGTGCTGGACTTAGTTTGATATTTCATCAACTAAGCCCACTTCAGCTCAAAACTGTACAGTGTGCATCATCATGCCCAGCTTTGTTCAAGTTCTAAGCAATATTCTATGTTCTGAGAGTTCTTCCAGCTCTGACATTTTATATTCTAAGATCCCTTCCTGATTCTGAAATCTTTTATTCTAAGTCCCACTCCCCACAGCCATGACATTCTATTTTCTTTCATTTACGACTTCTTCAGACTCTCACATTCATTATTCTGATATTCTTTTTAAGTTCTAGCATTCCATTTTTTTAAGCTTCTTCTGGCATTCTATGTTCTAAGCACCATCTAACTATTAAGATCTAAGGTAGCTTCCTGTTCTGCTATGCTCTTAAGGGTCCTCCTAGCTCTGGCATTCTGTATTCTAAGTGACCTCCAAGTTCTTACATTAAGCCTTCTAAAATCCTGTCCAATTTTAACATTTGCCATTTCAGAGACCTTTGAGTTTTGTCATTCAGTGTTCAGAACATAGATACCTAGAGATGTCTCTGGATATAGAGGTACAGTTCTAGAGCAAGAGATCTGTAAGACCTATATCTTATCTCTGTGTCCAGCAATATCTCTGTGGGTATATATGTGCGTGTGTTTCTGTGTGTGAGTGTGTGTGTGTGTGTGTGTGTGTGTGTGTGTGTGTGTGTGTGTAGGGATTGCTGAAGACAGCAATAGATAAGAGAATGTATACCTAGATCTGTAGAGATTTGCATATAGGCATAGATATATAATTTATTTTTCCCCTTCCTTAACTGTCAAATATTAGGAATCTATAATCAAAGATTTTTTGAGCCTAAGCATTTACCTTCTTGTACCCAACTAGTTGATTGGTACCAAGTTTGGGCTTACTTCTTAATGAATACTGTAAATAAATAAATAAGGATACACATACATGCATACATATGAATGTATCCACACATCTATATCTATCTTTATATATAATAAACAAAAGGAGAATAAAAAGTCAATGGAGAAGACATACTGATATGTGCTATAAAGTCATTTGTTTCTTAAATGCCTTTCTAGCATTCTCCTTGCATGTGTGAGACAGTGAATTTAAGAGGGCAGGACCTGAACAAGTAGTTGTTTGATGGCTATTAACCCCAAAGTTAAGAGTGTTTCCAATTCCTAGGGAACTTTTTTTCAGACAAATCTCATGAGAAGCAAACTCATTCCAACCCCTATGAGGGCCTGTTTATGTAGCTCCAACATGTACAAAACTTCCATGACTTCCTGTTGTCTGTAGAAAGAAAGACAGACTCCTCTGCATGGATTTCAAAGTCTTGAACAGCCAGACTTACACCCCACTTAGCAGCCTGATTATCAGGAACCCCCAACAGCTCCCTAATCATGTCCTGTGCTCTCCCTACTCAATGCACTCACTCAACGGTATGAAATACTCACAGACTCCTAGGCTCACAGTGGTAGGTGTGAGAGGGACTTTAAAGTTCCATCTAGGCCAACATTTTATTTTACACATGAGGAAACAGAAACCCAAGAAGATTAAGTTACCTATCCAAGCTCACATGAGTGGTAAGGGACAGAATCAGGATTTGAACTCAGGTACTTTGTCACCAAACCAGGTACCCCTTGATTTTCACCACTGCCTTGATTTCCCTCTTTAGCCATGCCTACTGACTCTTTCTCATCCTTCAAGGCTCAGTGTAAGTGCCATTTCTTTCCTGAAGCCTTTCCTGATTATTTCATTTGAAAGTTATATTTCCCCCTTGAAATTTTTCTAAAATACTCCCCCAGGATCTGTTCTTTGGCTCATCACAATTTTCTTGTTTCTTATTTTATATCCCTCCACCTCCATTAGATGATAAGCTCCTTCAGAACAAGGGTTACATATGTATATCCCACTGCCTTGGGGATAATGGGACCTTAATAATTATTTGTCAAATTGAATTCAAAGAAGTTAACATAGCATGTTAATTAATGTCAAAATTAGTTGTATTTTGTAAAGTGCTTTATACATATTATTTAATTGAATAGTCAATCAGTTAGTGTTAATAAATACCTACAATGTCCTGAGCACTATGATAAATGCAACAGATACTAATATTAAAAAAGAAAGAGTCCTTGCCCTCAGTCTTTTTACAATCTATCTGGGGAAGATACCACACAAAGGGTAGGTGAAAGGTGGGGAAGGGGAAAAATAGCTAATGAGGCTCAGGTGGGAAATGAAGAGCTGGCTAGCCCTTTCCCCCTCCTTAAATTGAGGTTTTGTAGCTCATCCTCCTCCTTCCAATCAGAGGGCAGAGAGCACTGATGAGGTGTGAGTCCCAAGGCTGAATAAATCTTACAGAATGATTAAGTTTCTTGGGTGTGTGATTGAGTAATCCAAACTGTTAAACTTCATAACCACTGTATTAGGTAAGTGCTGTTATTGTTTGCATTTTATAGATGAGGCAACGGAGACTGTAGAGGTAAAAGTGACTTGCCCATATTCATACAGTAACTAGGCACTGAATTCAGAGTTAGAGGAGATGGGTTCAAATCTTACCTCTCCTGCTTCTGATATCCAGTGAATTCCTTCACCTCTTTGGCTTGCAGGGTCCTGTCTCTGAAAAAAAGAGAGTGTTGGATCAAATGACTCAAAGATCTCCTCTCACAATCCTATTGATTGAACAAAAAAAAATTATATATATATATATATGTGTGTGTGTGTGTGTGTGTGTGTGTGTGTGTGTGTGTGTGTGTGCGCATGTGTGTGTGGATGTGTATGTTTGTATATATGTATACATATATGAAAGCAACCTATAATCTAATATATACATAAATCTCATAATTCTTTCTTAAAATTTCCACAAGCCACAAGGTAATCCATTTTAAAGAGCGCAAAATTTGGAGGAAGGAAGGAACCGGGTCTGAATCTAGGCCAGTACACTTACAAACTCTGGGACCCTGGAGAAGTCATGAAATCATAGAATTGTAAGGTTGGAAGAAACCTCATTTGCCACTGAGTCCAACCTTTACCTGAACAATAATCCCCTTATGACGTACCAACCTGTATTTCAATACCTTTGGGAAGGGCTAACCCACTATTTCCTGACACATTCCATCCTAGTTTTGGACAGCCCTATGTTACTCCTCTGCCATCAAGTCTAAGATTGCCTCTCTGCTCTTCTCCATTATGTATCTCAGTTTCCTCTTTTGTAAAATGGACAAATCATTTCTTCCACTACATGCTTTTAAGCCTTGGGCTGAAAAAAAAAAGTACTTTGTTATCTTAAAACCAAATAAAAGTGAATTCAGAAAGCAGTAGGAAAACCTATAATAGTTGAATAATCCTAATGAAAGGCAGTGAGTTGGAAGAAAACTCTTTTCCCCAGGCATGCTGTCTATGGTGCTGAAGTTAAGAAAATAGTTAAGATGACACATCTATTGAACCTTTGTCCTTTTTGTGGAAGGAAGAGAAAGAGTGATGATTGGAGACAGCTGCTTCTATGAGGAACAGCCAGGAGAGCTTATCAAGTCATTTTTCGGAGGCCACCACGTACCCACTCTCATTCACGAGCCACTGAGATTGAATTTGAACCAGTGACCCCCAAGTCGAAAAGCTTCTATCAAAGTACTC